AATTCGCTTTCAATATGCTTCTTTCTGTTTAAAGGCTGGCAAACGCTGAGTAGAACTAAACAAAATAAGTCGCAATGACATCTAAGTCAAAGTGCGGTCATAATTTAGCCGCCAGTGGGCGTTTTTTGCACGCAGAGCCGCTAGTTCAATAGTCCAGACGCCCCTTGGTGGCTGAAATTGTAACTAAAAGTTAAGTAGTAAATTGACACTTGTTTTGTTGACATTGGTGTCACTTTGATGTTTATATCTGATTGTGATTTGTTTTGATCTAATCAACTTTTGCAAGCTTTTAAAGAAATAGAAACAGATCGAAGTGTGTAAGTATTGTTTTATGTTAAAAATGTCATCAACTCCAATAAGTAAACAAGTCTGACAAGTCGCACAGTGACAACCGTCACTCACAAGCGTCTAGGTATACGGCATTTCTGTCACTTCTATCGATTGCGGCGATTCGAACCAATCAAATAATCCTACCGGTTTGTTGTTATCGAACGTATCGTTGACAAGTTGTACAAATGAGTTAAGACGATTTAAGGTTAGGTGGTTTTGTTTGTTGATTGATGATAATTATTTTATAATTTGTCTAGATAAACAACCGCGAGTCCGCCTATGATTTTTTTTTCATTCTCTCGTGCATTTCGAACCTTATATAAGCTCTAGATAAAAATGACAAACAAATAGTATCGTACAGAAATTCATAGGTAAATTTTATACGCTCTTGGCTAGTAATTTTTAATTTTTTAAGAGGGATTGTTTGCATTTGTTGGAACAAAAATAATAGCATTGCCTTTATATTGGCACAAAGAAAGACAGTGATAATTATGAGTATTTCTTAATTTATAACAATTTACAAATGATTTCTTATCATTTCATTTCATATCTGATCAACTTAAATAGGTGGCAATAACAAGTAAGAGTGCTTATGACATTAAACACTAAAAATGTAATAAAAAAATGTTGTATTATTGTTAAAATATTTAAAATTTCTGATTACAAATCCTAGTATTTTATACGCCTGATATAATGAAATTAATTCACATAGTACTACCTGCTAAAAAGTCGAACTACGTTGTTGGTATTCCACGTTTGCTGGAATAGTGTAAAAAGGCAATTATTTCATGTGTTGCTTAGTGTGACATGTTAAACAAAAAGTAAATAGAAACAGAAGATACCAGCAATTATTTTGCTTAATATTTCTTGACTCGTACAATAGTAATTTAATTTTTTCTGTTACTTTAAAATTAAAAAATCGTTGATAATTTGTTTTAATTAAATTTGCACATTGCACATAGGAAAATAACTTAAGCCAACTATCTATTTGCTCAATAATACATTTTTATTATTAAAACGCCCCATTTGGTGTACATAATATATAGAGTAACGTTAAAAAACACATCGTTAAGTTCTTCTAAATCAAACTTTAGAAGTCCAATAATTTTATCAATATTAATTAAATTAACACAGTCAAAGTCCAACACTATATTAATAAAATCCAAAGAGTTTACGGTTACAACAAAATACCGGTAAAAAATCACCTAACCTTAAATCGTCTTAAATCATAACAAACCGCTAGGTTCGAATCGCCGCAATCGATAGAATTGACAAGAAGTGCCGTATACCTAGACGCTTGTGACAGTGACAACCGTCACTCGACAACGAATAATTTGACGTTTCGCTGCGCCACCATCGGTAGTTGAACTCGTGAAATCTGCTACGAACGTAATAGAACTGGCAACGGTGGCAAGAGCCCTGCTTAACTGAACACCCTGTACATCTATAAATGTGCCATGGTCGATTTGCTCCAACCATCCAGAGGAATACAGCGCTGATTAAAACGATTTCCATATGAAAATCAGGATGCAATTCAAAAATCGACTCTAATATTTTGCAATAACAGCAACGTACAGTAATCAACGACAAATCAACATGATCCATTTTACAAACTTAGAAATGCCAGTTGCGGTGCAGTCATCCGTATAAATATGAGCGCATACATAAGTAAATCATCAAATAAAATAATTGCCCATATATGATGAATACACGTATGACATAATTCGCATGGAGCTACAGAAGGAGTGTCTTGAACAGTATTGGAATGTCATAATTGCTATTTTCAATCATAAATAACAATTTACTCGTGCACGGCTTCAGTTGAGTAAAACGTCTGTCGCAATTCGAAAAATCTGCTCATTGTTATTGTATGGGCGGTTGGGTTGTTCACAGCTTGAACAAGCATTAATTTCTACATTTTTCTTCAAAGAATTAATTTGATATGACAGTGTGAAGACCGAGTGCGCTTTTTGCTTTTTACTTGCAGATAATCATTTTTTTAACAAGTTTTCTTAATGGGATTCCTTGTGAAAATGCGTTTTTCGATTACTTTTGGCTCTTTCGCAATTCACTGCTTTTCTCATAAGAAACCACCCTTTGTGTCACAACGACGTCACGGAGAGTGTAGTTTGAAGTTAGCGGGGGATAAACCATTAACTAATGGTTAAGTTATCATAAAGCCTGTGTCCCATGCATCCGTTTATACGATTGGTTGGAGATCTGTCAATTTGTTCAATCAATAGAAACAATCTGTCAAATGTTCAATCAATAGAAACACTTTCGTACCATCCCACCATCGTATAAACCGATGCATGTGACATAGGCTTAACAACTGAAAAATGTTCGATTAATTGACATTTGTATAACAGGGCAAAAAAGGCGACAGTGACAGACGATGACAGTGTCAACTGGAACTTCCGCGCGTTTGCAGCCATTTCAAATTTTTGCTAGAATATGTTGAAACAGTTTGGACCGCGTCCAGGCGGCGTTGACCAACCGTTCACAGGTGTTCTGTGTTGACCAATGGCAGCGCGTCAAGCACAGCTGCTATCCTTGTCGGCCCACGGAAAAATGAGGAAAATGTGGTCATTCGAAACCAGTTCGCCGACTAAAATCATGTTCCAGCAGCCTTGTCCCGCCAATTTTTAAAAACGCTTTGAAATCGGGCGCGCGCGCTGCCTTCGCTATTCGCCATGGCGACCGCGCCTTCAGTTTCCTGTTTACCTCACAACGCGAAAATGTCGAAGGCGAAAAAAGTGCTCGACGAGGCTCGGGAAATCCAGAATCCCGAGCTGGATCTGTTCGACAAGAATGTGTCCACTTTCGAGGAGATGACCGGGCTACGTAAGTTCCATTTGATAACCGTAAATTCCGGGCTTTTACCTAATTTGGTAGCTTGTTTTGGCATCGCGGTGCCATTTAATCAGATGATTCAATTGTTTATGTTGGTTGGAAACCGTCTCGAGGTTATGCAACCAGCCGTGCACCTGGTGCTCAACTGGCGGCAAATTCAAATTACCTGTTCCTATCAAGCTTCTATTAACTATAAAATTTGGTGATTTTTTGTTCTAGTAAACATGACGTACATTACCCGACTGACTTTGAGCCACAACGCAATTAAATGTACGTATCCACTAAAAATATTACCGCATAACTTGAGTGCTAATTGCTGATGTTTTTGTCCCCAGCCGTTCCTCCGGGTCTGGCAAACTTGTCCAATCTGGAGATTATCAACTTGGCCAACAATCAGATTGAGGAATTGCCTCTATCGCTATCTTCAATGCCAAAACTGAGGATTCTGAATCTCTCAATAAACAAACTGTATTCGCTGCCTCGAGGCTTCGGTGCCTTTCCTGTACTGGAAGTACTGGATCTTACCTACAACAACTTGAAAGAAGACGCTTTGCCCGGCAATTTCTTCTTGATGGGTAGGCTTTTATTCTCAACTATCTGCATTTAATAGTAAAATATATGTATTGCTTGCAGGAACCTTGCGAGCATTATATCTAGGAGACAACGACTTTGAGTATTTACCTCCGGAAATAAAGAACTTGAAGAACTTGGAGATTGTAAGCTGAAGGGTTGTTTCAGTGGAGTAGTTTACAAAACAGATTCCCGTTCTTTCAGCTTGGGCTCAGGGAGAACGACTTGTTGGAGTTGCCCAAAGAGATCGGCGAGCTGACCAGATTGAAAGAATTGCATCTTCAAGGTATAAACCGACCAACTGGTTTTGTAGTTTTTTAAATTGCGCTTGTTTAGGCAATCGTCTGACCTTCCTGCCTCCAGATTTGGGCCAATTGGACATGTCTTCGAATAAAGCCGCATTTAGATTAGAGGGCAACAAATGGATCCCGCCGATAGCCGACCAGTTGCAGTTGGGAATCAGCCACTTACAGGACTATTTGAAAAGCGAAACCTATCGCATGTAAGTGATTCAAATTCGGATTTTTGGTCTTTAAACAATTAAGTTTTTGTAGAACATACAATCGATGTCTGACGAATAAACCAGAAGCTCCCCCACCTTGTGAGGGCAAGCCTAAGAAAACGTGCAGAACTCGATAAGAAAATGGGTGCAATATTTATTAGCAATTTAGCATAACAAGGAATTGAAATGAGTAAGCCTCGATTTTTTAACACTTTGGCGCTTCAATGGGGAGCCGACGGTGTTCCAGAGTGGCCTTTTTATACCAAAAGTGCCTTAACTTAACCCTTAAAAACTATCATATTTTGTGTATTTAATCGATTAATATTATTTTTTTAAGTCCGGGAATTCGATGTACTTTTGTCGCAATTCTTTGCTGCCAACTAAAACAATGCTTTAAGTTATGGAAATTGTTTAACTTTATATACGTGTTATTTTTTCATAAATTCATATCGTCGGTCAGTATCTGTCTATTTAATTATTTCCCGCTTTCATGCATACGCCCAACAAAAAACTCTTAATGCACAATTGGCAACAGAGCCACGGTAGGTCATTTTTTGACTTTTGGGTTTGATTACCGCCAAGTGATGTAGGGTTATGTGTGAATGAATTTCAACGATTTGTTTATGTTTCCGACTATTGTTTAGCTTTTAATCTTGAACATGAAGAAGTTCTTCACTGTGCTGATCCACTCCTTGATTTTGCAACTGTGTCAAAGCTCACTAGCTACCCAAAATGGTAAGGGTCACTAGGTTATGTCAGGAATTTGAAAATGTCCAGTTTTTGCTTTTTTCCCTTCATATTCATCCCGTTCTTCCTGCCGGGGGCTTCTAGAACATCCAAAGTATTCGCATTAACTTTTATCTTAATTTGCTATTTTCTCATACCCTTACATGTAAAGGTCTTTGCTGCCCCATTCGGTTACAATAAATGAACTGGCCCAATGTCAGCTGGTAAGCACACATTGGACCATATTTAATGTTTCTTTCCAGTCCACTACTTGGAGCAGAACGAAGTTTTCAAATTCAATCCCAATCCATACAGCAACAGGCAGTTGTACATTTACTGCTACCAAGGAACTCCTAAATATGTTATACACGTCTGGCAAAGCGTACTGGTAAGTGTTGCTTACTAGTGCAAAAGAGTCTGTACTAATAACCACTATAAACTTTAGTTGAAGATCGACCATTCGACGCAAGATTATAATCAATTCGATGGGAACACCCCCGAGCAAGTTCAGCAGGAATATGTTGATCAACGCCACAGTTGGTCGATCAACTTATTTGCCATCAAGTCAAAAAGCATCAAGTTGAATCCTTTTAACTGCAGCTGTGTTGGGATCGAGAGTCGAGACGCATACTCTGTGCATCTTCAAGTAATCCGTAAGTACCACTGAGTTTGCTCTCGAACATTTTCATAGTGGTGTTTATTTGCAGGAGTCGACTTGTGGAGAATCCTTGCAGCTTCACTTGGAGTGATGCTATTTTTTAGCGCTGCTAGTCTTAGCCGGAACACCCTGTTCCACTATTTGTGTGGCATTTCGTTCGGGATATGCGCTTCGTTTTTAATTTTAATATATCTCATCAGCAAACTGTTTCCCAGGGTAAGCACAGGATTAGTGGGTTTGATTGTGGTTTTATTTAAGCAAGATTCTTGTCCGCCCTTCGCAGAAAACGTTAATGTATGGCGTGATTGGTGCTGGATGGACGATTGTAATCTACTTCTTGCAAATAATGTGTGATAACATAAAACTCATTACTTCCACTTATCAAGCATATGTGATCTGGTACACTGTCATAACGGGAGCCATTAGTTTTGTTTGTAAGTAATAATAGTAATACAATATAGTTTATGAGGGTTTTAGCATAAAGCGCCTTTTCAGTGTGCTACCGATGGGGTCCTGTCCAAAACCCTCGCACTATCACCCTAATAAAGTGGACCCTGCAACTGATGGGTTTAGTGACCATTTATCTCAGCAGTTGTTTCCAAGAAGCAGCTATGGGCCAAATCATCTTACTGCTATTGATGGCCGGTTTGCCGAAGAGATGGTTAAATGCACCTCTAATGTATTGGTAAGTTGTTTTCAACGTTGACCATACCAAAGAGCGATAAGTCGATCATTAACAGGAAGAAGAAGTTTCCGCCGAAAGTAAAGTTGCTGACAAACGAAGAGTACTACATGCAAGGGGTGAGCGAGACGACTAAAGCGCTTGAAGAATTACGACAATTTTGCTCAAGTCCCAACTGCAATCAATGGAAAACCGCTCTGAAAGTGAAAGATGTGAAAAGGTAAGTTATTTTTCACGCGCGTACTGTGGAGTTAAAAACTATTTTTGGTTTAGGTTTGCGTCGTTCGTTGAAGGCAACTCGCATCTTACCGATGAAGAGATACTGGAGTACGAAACTTCAATACAATACCGACCATTTGCGGACGAGGAGGACAGCGTGATAACCTCCGATGAGGGCTGGTAGCAAACCTTATTCTGATCGCGCTAACAGCAACTACAGCCCTTGACGTGAGAACTAATACTTGCACTATTCGATTTTTAAGACTGAAGAACAATCTTCTGCTTGTATGGCATAAAGAACCGTTATGTTATCAAACCTATGCAGTAGTTTCAAGCGCATGGTGCCAAATGATCCAACGGACTCAAATTTTGATCGCAGATTCTCTGAATTACTTTTTCTCAATCTCGAAAAAAACCTGCGGTTTTTGGTGGTACACACCACATTCCTCCAGTTCCACTCGAAGAGCTGCATGCGTTGCTCCATATAGTGCAGGAGTATTTTGCAAGTCCGCGCTCCAGAATTGCTTCACTGTTGCCCTGTTGGGCTTTAAGGAATTGGGCCGTGGATTTTGAGTACGCATTCGAAACTGATTATTCTGTTGGGAGATTGTTCACATGCCATTTTCCATGGCCACTTTTTACAGTGTTTATGTATATATTTACACTGAATTGTTTAAAATTCATCATCATAATCATCCTCTTCTTCTGAAAACACTCGGTTCTGCTTCGAAACACCTACGGACAAGTCTAGTTCCATGTTGTTTACGGTCTCATCATCAATATTGCGTTGTTCCTATTAAGAACATGATAATAAAGTTTTAATTACCATTACATTGAAGATTGAAGTGTTTGTGTAGTGTACGAAACACCCTGATGCAACTTACAATTTCCAGGTCCTGGTGGAGTTTATTAAATGGTTCAGCCTTGGGATTTAAAATGTTTTTCAACTGGTTCCACTCCAGGTTTGTTTGCTCAATTTCCTCACTGATGCTTTCCATCAGGGACATCAGTTTTTCCTTTGCGATATTTAACTTTGTCAGTTGCATCAACTCCTCTGTTCCGTTATTTGGCGGCATCCACTTAATGTTTTTAAGTTTGCGGTTCATTTTGTAGATTAATTGTTTATTCTAAGACCGGACTGGCACATAAACAAATCTCTTAACCACACTTTGCTGTTATTGAATGGAGGTTATTGCGATTTTTCATCCAAATTCTGAGCTTGCTGTTGCCAATGTGACTACTACTGGCTTTTTAATTATGTGGTTTTACAGCTCATGATTTATTTAAATGTCACTAGCTTTTTCACGGAGTAGAATTTCACTGATGATTTTTAAGATGAACTGAAAGTGCATCAGAGCCATAGAGTAAGTAAAATAACAATAAAAAATTATTTTACTTTCTCTATGATCAGAGCTTCATGACATCCTGCCTTGCGTTTGTTTTCCTACAGGCCTATAAACCGACGTTGTCAAAGGTTCTATCAAAACGACGAATCGTTCTTATTGTCAAGCAGACAGGAGTGTTTTGAAAGAAGCGCAATTGTGATGGGATAGCTAAACAAAGATAAACCTGTTTTCAAATAACAATAATATACAAATTAGGGGACGATAATGTTAGTCCTGTAAAAAAGTGGATTGAGCCCATCGGTTGATCAATTTTCCACGTGCGGCAGAAGAAGGCGATGTGAACGACTAATGCCTTACGGGAACTTTAACGTGGGCTCGTCACACAGCCAAAATATCCACACAACTTCCAAGGTATGCTTAAACTGTACTGAAAATCGCCGATTTTCTTGTATTGCTGCACTTTCCAATCAACTAAAGTGTTCATTTGGAAAAATGTCATCAATTTGATGGGGTGTCGTCCAGTCCATATGCAGCGCTTTTCAGAACATGCAAAGCAATGATTAATTCTAACGCTGTTCGGTGTGTGTGAGCCTGACGAGAATAAGCAAATGATTTGTTATTAAATAAATATTGCACACAACAGCGACGCAGCATGAGTCAGATTAGATTAATTAAACACGGTTTTTGATTCATTTCAAAGCGATAGGAGGGCGTTTTTTATCGGTTGTTCTAGGGAGTTTAATGCGAGCTTAATTAAAAAATATTCGCTTAAATGAGGTTTTGTATTTCAGGACCCGCCATTATTCTTTGTAATAATGCGATTCAACTTCAAAATCGCCCTACTAATTCTGATTACTGTCTCACTGGCCACCCTGGTCATACTGTACTCGATCTGCAACAAGACACAGTCAACATCACTGCCCGAGCAATCGAACATTGTGAAACAGCAACAAACCGAAGTATTGGACATTGATTGCGATATCAATGGAGAATATCTGGTGAAGTGCAAGCGAGAAGGTCCGGAAGTATTCCTGCCATTCGCCTTCTTGGAGGAGTATTTTCAGGTCTATGGAAAATTAGCGGGGCCGGACCGCTTTGAGTGGTCGCACAGCTACAGCAAAATCTACCATCCAAAAACTAAGTACGACCCCACGGGGGTTTTTATGTACTTTGAGAACTACAACGTGGAAGGCCGCGACCGAATGAAGTGTGTGAGCGCAACTGAAGGTGTCCCGGTGTCCAGCCAATGGGACAGCGGGGGCTACTACTACCCCATTCAGATTGCCCAGTTCGGATTGGCGCATTATTCGAAAAATCTTACTGAACCTGAGCCGCGAATCTCCACACTGGAGAACGGCGATAAGGAGATGGTGAAATGGTGAGTTTTTCCTTCGATCTAGCATCTATCCACCCATCAATCGTTTCTTCGTGCAGGTTGATACCAGACACGGCGATTGTTGAAAGAAACCTAAACCATAATCGCAAATCGAACGTGCTGGAGTTCAGAACGAGCGAAAACTACAACGAGGGAATCAGAATGAAGCTGGATCATGTGCTGGACTTTGTCATGAAAGTCGACGTGCTTCTGAACGGCAACAGCAGCCTGACTGTTGTTCTGCAGAATCGAGAAACCAAAGACGCTTATTTTCTACACTACATCACCAGCGATATTTTCATTACTACCCAAGTGAGTTTCTGTTTTTTCTTGTTGATCATTAGGCAGGTTTTCCGGTTTTTAGGACAGCAATATCTACCATGGGTTGGGGACCATTTCCGAATGGCGCCGGCTCACCAGAGACTTAATCGTCGATCTACACAAGGGCTTGAACTACGCCAGCAAGGACAAATCGAAATTCAAAATCGCGAGGCAAAAACTGAAAGTCATCAGTATAATGTTGAGGCAAGCGCGCGTTTTACTCGAATTTTCCCATTGGTCTGACCATGAAGAGTTGCAGGGGATCGGGGGCGATCGACAACTTGACTCTGGCCTCTTCTGAGCACGTTCAGCAATTTTACGATGCAGCCGAGTGGTTTGTCAGGTACCAAGATGCGGATACTGGCGGTTGGGCCATTCCCGTTAAGCGCACTTTGGCACCAGGATTTTTGGTGCTGGAACCGGGTAAGTTGCACCGAATCAGGCTCCATTTGGGTAGTACTATTGATGATATTTCAGGGTGGTACTCAGCCATGGGGCAAGGCCATGCCCTTTCCGTCTTAGCCAGAGCGTTTTACCACTCTGGCGGCGATCAGCGCTACTTGAATGCGGCTTTGAACGGCCTGAAACCATTCAGGTAAACGCTTAAGCGCAAGCTAAATTGATTGATTGGTTTAATGGATAATTTATGGGCATTTCAGAGTTGCTAGTGCAGATGGTGGTGTGCTTGCTACATTCTTAAACAAGTTCCACTGGTACGAAGAATATCCCACGCAACCATCATCGTTCGTTCTCAACGGCTTCATCTACTCAATTCTGGGCCTCTATGATTTGATGACAATCGCCCCAGTGGACCAGGCGCAGGTGATCACCTGTTCTCACTCTTTTTCCTCTTGCTGAACGTTCACTTTTCTGTTGAAGGAGGCGGAATTTCTCTACAATGAAGGCATGGCCACGCTTAAGAGCATGCTGCCGTTCTTCGACATGGGCAGCGTTACTAGCTACGACTTGCGGCACGTCACGCTGGGCATTGCGCCTAATTTAGCAAGATGGGACTACCATGCTACCCACATTAATCAGCTCCTGCTTCTGGCTACCATTGACGATGATCCGCTGTTTAAAGCGACCGCACAGCGCTGGATCGGTTACATGAAGGGTAAAAGAGCTGGGCATAATTGAACGGGATGGTTCAACTTGGATTGGATGGAATATGTGAGAACCGCCCTGATGAAACTGTTATTCCTCCATTAGGTATGATGGATTATTTTAGAGAAGTCAAATAATCAAAAACGCTTCAAGCGTCGTTGTACTGACCAGAAGGCAAAGTTCAGTATTTTTGCTACAAAGCACACTCGCATCTTTCCCTTATCTTAAAGCACGAAAGCCCAGGTCCAAACAGCACTGTTTGCAGGCTGTCGGTATCGAAGAATGCTTTTACATTCCGTTTTGTTAAGTTTGTTGCTGTTTGTTAAACATGTTTGTTACTTCAGGTGTTTTCTGTACATTTTCGGCTTAAAGACACTGAATGTGGACACTTTATTCAATCAAGATTTGCTTAGGCAATCCGCACTAGGGGAACGTTTGCTGCAAAAGCAGCCCATTATCAGATTTTTCCTATCGCTATTTACTTAATTTAGATGCCAATTCACTGAAAATCAATATCAGCAACTCCAGTGCTCCGAATGAACTGCATCTAATTTCTACTTCAAGACTGAGAAATGTAAAAATTAAGCAAAACTCATCACTCACCATGACGGACCAATTGATCTTGTCCTCAAACTCTCTAGTTTAAGACACGTTTCCGGAACAACACCGCTTAACGAAAAAAGCACGTTCGTGTTTGCGGCGTGCCTGTGTGATCCCGAACTGCATAAACGCTTTTGACAATGTTTTCTCCTTAGATATACGTATTAAAATAAATCCAGAGTCAATATTAAAGTTAGTTAGTTGAATTGACTTCAGGTAGAGAATTTCTTGGGACTGTCGTTTGGAATAGGGGCGCAGCCCCGTTCTGGATACTGATCCCCGCTTAGAATAGGCTAAAGTACAACATAGACGTTGCGTCTTGGAAATAATAGTATTTTTACACTTGCAATGAAAATGTATTCTAGTCACACCGATTTTTAGAGACCCGTGCCTAATTTTATCGACTCGTATTCGTTCCTTTCTCGTTTTAACGTATTGCCGATTCGAGCTGAATTTCTGAAAACCTAATCGTGGTTAGATAATCGTATTATAGATTTTGTACTGTCGTAAAAATGAAGGAACTTCCTGTACGTTTAATGGATAATACTAAGTGATTATGTACTTATATAACGGCTAGAGTAGTGGTCGTTTTCGGGAAGTGCACCGATTTTCTACTGGAAGCCTTAAGCTTCCTTTTAGGCACAGTTCAGCATTGGCAAGCTCCAAGTATTTGTTGCTGCCTGATTGTTATTGACTCATTTTTGACTGTATTCCGACTAGTCGGACAAGGAGTGCATGTACTTACAAATATTTATCTTATTGTATTTTCCTAATTTTAGTGGCAGTGATTTGTGTGGTCGGAATATCGTCAAAATTGTTGTTTTTATTAATCTATACAGTACCCGAGAGCGGTTAACTGCCGGATTGTGCCATTATCCAGTTGCACTGGCCCTAAAAGCAAATTCAATCATTAACAGAGCTTACTAGTTGCCTACCAAATCCAAAAACTTGCCATGTTAGTCCCTGCGGATTTTCCTGCTAGAAACAAGGGGGAGCCGCGCTCTTTTCGAGCTGTTTTATGTACAAATTGTTGATAAAATAAGTATTTTGTACATTGTAGACCCGTCCCACCGTTGTAAATCCGAAACCGGACTGCATAGCGCATAGACAGTATTTATTAGAATTATTTTTATTTATTTCAGTTTACTTAACCAATGCGCCTGACTAACGTTTATTGAATAATATAATACTATACAAATTTCAAGTGACTGTGACAATAAAGTTAGGATGATTATAACCCGATGTGTTGCGCTTTCTTTGCATTCCTCGCCTTTTGCCGCCGGCCAATTCCATAATTAATGAATTACAAAATAACGAATTCGACTCGTTTTTGCGCCCATTTCTCAATTAACCGACGCAAACCGACCGGTTTGCAACTATTCGCGTGAAAAAATGCAAAAATCACACACTGTCAATCATCTACGCTGCATTTCTTCACATTAAATAGTTTAAATTCGATCTGGTATTTGTGGATTTTTGCATTTCACACGCTATTTTTACTTACAGCCGAGACGAGACAAAAGAAGTTCTAGATTGAACTTCTTCTAAGAGAAAACTGTTTTCTTACTGAACAACACAATCAGAGTGTGGGCGCATGAAGCAAACAGATAGAAGAAGAAAAAAATGCATCAAAAGAGATAGATTTTCGAGCCCATTCCTTGAAACTAATGGGTTTTTAGGCCGTCGTTCGGTAGAATTTCTTCTTGACGTTTCGCAAGCACGAGTGGCTTGCATCTTCAGAAGTGGTTCTGCGGAAGAACTGCACGGGTTCTGATGAGAACAGTGTAAGCGTTCAAGCAAACCACTTCTGAAGATGCAAGCCACTCGTGCTTGCGAAACGTCAAGAAGAAATTCCATTTTACAACGGCCTAACAACCCGAAAAACACATTAGTTTCATGTCTTGACATATTGGCGAATGCGCCGCAAGCATTTCTACAGCCCGCATTTCGCTTTTGGTCAATTTTGGCTCCGAGTTGAATATTTGGAATGTTCAGCAAAATGGCATTTAGTTGGAGAACTAAGACATGATCCGGAAAAAGAGTGCAGGGGATCAAAAAAGCTTAAAAAGCTTGCACAAGACAACCTCAGATGAGGTCAAAGCTGGGAAGGACGTTGAATTCCCCGTTTGTAGCGTCGAAAACAATCCGAACTTGAAAATAGAATCCGGTATTGGGAGTACAATAACCGATTAGTCCATAGATCACGTACGGTCGCATTCTGACCGAGCGAGAGTAATTAGCACGTCCATCCGGCGATGGCGGTTTGTCTAGCGCAACTTTCGTAAATTTCACCGTCAACTTTGTTTCCTTCCCCGTGTATAATTACTCCCCCGGAATGGGCAAGATATTTATTCTTGGACGTTCATTTCTTTCAACTAATTACCTGAAAACCTAATTTGAGCGCTTCTTGGGACCTGCTTCGGCCGGCAGCCGCTCACAGGCAACACAAGAGCCTTTGCACCCACTTTGGCAACCGATCCCTGCCCTAAGCCTGCTAATAATTGAAAAAGTGCCCTGAAATCGCGCAGATGGAATGAAAACAAGGTAAAACCGAAAGGAAAAACCTCCTCGGACGGGCTTCAATGTAGAAAGTCGTTAGTTTTTCTGGCTCGTTATGCATTTTTCATATCAAAATCTGTAGATGTGCAGGAAGATAAAGCCGACCCGTATAAGGACATTCGAAGGGAATTCTCGCAGTCGGACAAGCAACGCTATTTTGCACGCAAAACGACGGGTTTTGCTGATTTGGATGGAAAATAAACAGTGAGTTTGGGCCTGGAAAGAGCTGATAACTTGCGGAAGATTGCAAAAATCAACCAATAAACTGCCCAATGCGGTTGTGTAATGCTGATTTGCATTCGTTACAGAGCGGAATCTAAATCGCCCCGGCTTTCCATTTTTCGCATTCGTATTCCAGGCGTGTAAGAGTAAAATCCATGCGAGGACGGTCGACTGGTAAAAGTCGGAACGGTTGACGAATTCGGCTGATTTGGCCGATTTTTCCTGTCGGCATTAGAATGTGAAAGTTCCTCCGTATCCAAAAAAACAATGATGGTTTACGACAACTTTGGGGCAAACGTGTGGCTTACAATTAGCGAGTAGACGCAG